TTTAAGTCTGTGAATGAAACCCTAGAGTGTGGTTATTCAAATGAAAGTCATTGAGCAATACTTTCATGTGGTACTGTGTATAATGTTGTACAAGGAGATTCTACCTTATGTCTGAGGATGAAACGCTAGAGTGTGGTTATTCAAATGAACGCTGTTGAGCAGTACTTTCCCGTGGTGCTGTTGATTTGTAATTAAGTTTCCTAGTTGAGAGTGTTTGGACAAAATTATTGCAAACAGCAATATCTAAACAAGCAATTACCTGTCTGTTAGGTAGGACCTTAGTCACTATCGCTCTGTACCAGGCTCCATCAGAACACTTAGCACAGCATATCTTGTTCTTGTGGGGATTGGACAGGAACTCTGCAGCTTTCGTTGGCTAAAATTTGAATAAAAATGTTTAACAAATCCTCAATTATCACTCAAGAAATTTTTGAAGGCCTTAGCATGCATGCTAGAATTTCTTGGGGACATCCTCACGAAATTATCACGCACAACTCAAGAAATTATTGAAAAATGTGTGAAGTGAGTGTACCTGAGAGTAATGTTTGCTTATGTCTTGCATAAGTTCCTCCAGTCTCGTTGTTCCACCACCAGGAATTTGAATGAATATATTTCCTTGCGGCGTCACATAAGTCACATATGCATCAATTTGTTCTCCAGGCTATCAAGGAAATGAAGGAATAATAATTATTGTCAATATAGTCCAACCTTGATATCACTACATCTACATGTAACAATCTTTAAAACACGCTTAAAACACTTAAAGCCAAAATTGGTTCTTTCTTAAAATAACGAAGCATCTAAGAAAAGAATGCAAATTATTGAAACCCCGCGAGACTCAGACAAAATTAGCGTGTTCTGAGAGAAATAGGAGGAAAATGAACGCCAAATTTTCGTTTTAAAACTGTTTTAGGAACACCCGCTTACACGCTTGAAAAAGCGTCAAATTTTCCACCATTCCGTTTTGTTTGTCTGAGTTCTTACGTCACTCGCGCGCTTCGCTATTTATGCGACGCAATTTTTGTTTTTGTTTGTTTGTTCTTTATGGCTGCACTCCGATTGATATGAATTAATCATTTTACTGCTGAGTAAAGAAAGGCCAAGATAGAAGAGACAGATTTAGCAAAGACATAGTTTAAAAATGTTACTTCGTGAAAATAACGTTGAAAAATAACTAAACCACATCAAATCACTATCAAATGACTGCTGTTAAAGGGTTTCATATTGTTTACAGCCTCAAAAACTATAAAACAACATAACATGTCTTGAAGACTGGTCCTGGTTGAGTGTTACTCAGGGCTAAGAACACACCAAATTTTAAACTAGGCTCAATGTCAAGGAGACATTTGGTACCTTTGGTAAGACTGGGGCCATCTCCTCATCTGGAATCACCAAAGATCGTAGCATTGTGTTTATATTAATGTCTGCAACTTCAGATGAGGTGGTGTCATACAACTCAACTGATGCTGTGTTCCCAGACCTGCAAACATAACAAAGTAAAAACAGTGTTAACTATAAGTTTAAAAAAGTGTGCTCCTTAAGATTTGTTACCTTTTCCTTCACCAATCATTGTGCATAATTTAGTATTTTCACTCTTGCAAGTTAAAGCATATGTAGAAAATGAGGAAAGTAAATGTTATAAAGGTTATTTACCATGCATCATCAAGACACTTGGGCAAGACACTTCACTCTCACAGTGTCTCTCTCTCTCTCTCTCCTTCAATGCATACTGCCAAATTCAATGCTGGGGGTAACCCTGCAATTGACCATACAGCATCCTATCTGGGGCGAGCTTGTGCATGTAGAAATACACCTAGTTGCTTCATGCTACAGAATCTGGGAAAAGCTCCAGCTGTTTGGAAGGAGTAGAAAATACTACTAATTGCCTCATACTACAGAAACTGGGAAAAGTTGAAGCCGCTAGCAACTGGGAAAAGTTTGGGCCACTAGCAAATAGCAAAAGTTTAAGCCACTAGCAACTGGGAAAAGTTTGGACTGCTAACCCAGCACAGATCTAGCCTTTACCTTATATACTATTGTGTCAGGACTTTAACCTTAATCATCATTCACACGTAGTTAATGCACATCTTTCTAACAAAACCACTATCCCTACCTACCTTTTAACAACTTCTGCAACAAGATCCCTGTTGAGTGTCATGTGCTTTAGCTTAAGAACAACTTCTGAATTCTTTGTTTTAGGCAGCCCATTGAGACTGATAGTGCAGGCCTTAAAAAAAAACCAAGTTATCCTTATTAAAAAATATCTTGCTTCAAAACTTTTAAAAGAATAAGTATTTGCAGTAGGTAGTTTGATCCTAAAACTGCCCAGGGGCTGCCCATATAAGGTTACCTTCCCAGAATAGCTCTTGAAGTAAACATGAGTTCCAACTCAGGGCTGTCACTAAGGACTGTAACCCGTTACACCTGTTGCAAATGACCACAATTGATGGGGCCTTGATGTTAGTATGGGTAATCAAACGGTGACAAGTGAAGTTAGGGAATAATTTCACGCACATTTTATCAAAATTCTATTAATTCAAGGTGAGGGAAATCATTTGAATTTTGACAAAGTGTAAGTGAAATTATTTCTTTATTTTATGAGTATACCATTTGATTACCTTTTAATATCATGGGTGACAAATTATGCTCACAATCGTGGGTATTTGACTTATGTCTATTATAGTATTGTATCAAAACATTTTGTGACGATTTTATAATTTCACATGTGAAATCATAAATTAACACTGAAACTTTGCACTAAAATGAGGGAGCAATTTGTTACCCATAACATAAAATATAGGTAAAATTGCCTGTTGTTTTATATGTATTCATGCATAAAGCAATATGTTTGTTACGAGTGTAAAGACCAAGGCAACAGGTTATCCAAAATTTAAAGACAGTGTTGCAACCACATGACAGTCTCTATTAGAACAACAATCATAATATCCCAAAACTCTTATGGTAAACTGGAAAGGAAGGATCTTTAGTCACAAACCTGGAAAGGCAGTTCTAGAAATCTTGGTGGAATATTCTTCAAGCTTGAGCTGGGCACCATTCCTGTGTCACCATAGTCCATGTACTCGATCTGAACTTTGTCTCCTTTGACCTTAAGAACCTTGACTCGATACCAAAGACCCTCGGAATGGATCTCCTTGGAATAGATGGCAAATATATTGCCAGGGTTGATTTTTACAACCTCTAAATTAAACCAAAAACATGAAGACAGTTAGACTACGAGTAGTCCCTCTTTCGTTTAGTTCACTGTGCATGACACGAAAGAAAACCACAAGAAAAAATGGCTGCGTGAAATCCTGGGGGCGAGACGCATGTGCTTCTCACCCTCAAGAGTTTGCACGGCCATTTTTTGTTCACAGCTTTCTTTCGCGTCACACACAATGGACTAAGCAAAAGACGGACTACTCATAGTCTACAAGACAGTATTTAGAAGTTAAAGCTATTTGGACAGAGCATCACTGTGATCACTGAACAGGGATTAAGTGACAAGTTGATTGGCAATGTTGCCTATTTCTAGATCTATTGTCACAATAACATGTGGGTCTATGTTTATTGTCGCCCCTCAGCTTAGTTGATGGGAATTTCTCTGTGTTCACTCCATTTACCAGCATTTCATAATATTAGCATCACATTTGATGTAGATTTTCTATCTTTAAATACATCTGTAGCCTTGACACAAACAATTAATTGTTGTCTAATACTGCAACTGAATACACTTGTATGAAAGATCATATATTTGAACTGCTGAGAAAGATGTAAAGACATGAAATATCATTGCAGTTACGCACATGAAAATAAAGCCTGATTATTTTTTTCGGCCTGTTTTGTTTTCACTGCTGCCTCGGGTACATAACTGAGATGATCGTTCATGCATTTATTCAAGTCATAATTATTAAGAAATAGAAAACATGTACTATGTTTCTATCCAGTTTTAGTATAAATCTACTAGCGTTCTATCACGAATGCCGTTCTCTGATTGGCTACGTTACTCTCTATCTAATTCTGTGATAGATAGTGAGTAGCGTAGCAGCGTGTGCTAGGGGCCACTTCTTTGTGTTTTCAAAGTGTCTTTGAAGAGGATTTAGATTAAATTTTTGAACAAAAAGAAGATTTATACTAAAACAATTAGATTATTTGCTCTTGATTTCTACATGTATGCGTGATCACACATTAGAAATCTCAAGCTCATAATCTAATTGTTTAATAGAAACACAAGTGGCAGTTTGGGAGAATGAGAAAAGCTGTGGCAAGTTCCACAGCTTTTTCAAGTTCTCCAAAACTTTCACAAGGATTCTATTTAACAATTAGATTATGAGCTTGAGATTTTTATGAGGTGATAGAATCAAGGCCTCATCAACTATCGCCTCATAGAAATCGAGAGTGAATAATCTAATCGTTTTAGTAGAATTCTAACTGAAATTAATGCAAATAACGGTTTCCAATTATTTCTTAACGCTTTATTGAACTTTATGCTTTAACAAAATCGCACGCATTGAATTGTCCTTGCTTAATTTGCAGTTGTTTACATGCGTACACCCGTTTTTTCAATAATTTCAAGTTGTTACAGTCAAGAATCCGTTAATGTCCTTCTTTTAGCCTTCTCAGGAATTTAATTATCCATTTACATCTAAACTCTCTTCCAAAACTTCAGAAAAACGATAAAAACAACCACTGCACTCTAATGGATGATAGTATACGAGTTGCTCAGCCAATCAGATTGCAGCATATGCATTAGTATACTAGTAGAATTCTACTAAAACTCAATAGAAACACAGAGAACATGTTTTCTATTTCTTTTAGAAAATATCGCAACAAAACAAAGAAAACAATTTGTTTACTTTGATCATCAAAAGATGAATTCTCTCTGCTTGCGCTATCATTATGTCAACAGTTTGTGCTAGTTCTGTATTTCTAACGAGTTTTAGAAATAAGATTTAACATTTTAAACCAATCAGCGCGTGTATATTCATTGGGTTATTTTCTTATTATTAATACTACACCTTCAGAACTTGGTTCCTCATAATGGCACAGCATACTCTGTTCCAGAGCTGTTAGCTTCTCCTAAGTGGCATAAACAGTATAGCACATATTTACACAGGAACAGCAAAATAAAGGTAAAGTCTGCATACATGTACATGCCCATGTCCAGCAGGCCAGAGCTTATCCCAGTTTCTGAAGTATGAAGTGACTTGGGGAGTATTTTTACACTCCCCTGGATGGGACACTAGTCCATCGCAGGGTTACCCCCAGCATTTAAGTCACCGGTACCCATTAGTACGCCTGGGTGGAGAGAGGTACTGTGAGAGTAAAGTGTCTTGCCTAAGAACACAACACAGTGCCTCCAGCCAGGGCTCGAACCCAGACCGCGCGATCCGGAGAAAAGCACACCAACCATGGAGCCAACAAGCCTCCACCTTCTAAACAGGGCTAGTATTAGAAAACACAGGATAAACATACAATTTAGGTTTAAACTGACACAAGCAAAGCATCATGGTCTTAACAAACAGAACTAACAACATGGCACATAATGATAAAAGAACAACATTACAAGTCAACAAATTATGTCTCTATAGCTTGGCTGAGCTTACACTTACAGAATAATTTTCTCCAGAAAGATTAACACAGATGTTGTCAGTGCTGTGAACATTGCAAACAAACACATCTAGAAACTCCTCATCTGGGATTTGTTCCCTCTCTAGTGAATCAATAAACAAAGTGATCAGCATTCATTTTCTTCTTACAAATATCAATACTATATGAAGCAGACAGGTAGAGAGAATAAAGAAAATCATCGACTACTGTAAGGGGATATCGCATTGATGTATAATTATGTACAACCAAATTCTTAAAACTAAATGCAGTTGTGCTCTAATAAAACTAAATGCAGTTAAATGCAATTTAACAGTCAAGATTAAAAACAAAGAGCACCTGCATTCCCATGGTAATCAGCGGTGTTTTTGATATGTGAATGCACCAGGATTACATGTACCCTTGGACTGAGACGTGTTGGCAGCCTTCACAGCAATAGCGTTTACAGTGAGTGCTGTTTTGCATGGGAGCACGACTTCAAGCATTACCCCTCTCTTCCCTCCCTCTTTCCATTGTTAATTCAGTATGACGGGTGCCTGTCTCCCCTTCCACATGGGGGCTCATGGCTGGGTTGCCTGGATAGCGCAGTCTCCATCTAGGAGCTGGCTGCCAATAGTGGAATTAGTGCAATTGGTTCCCTCACAGGGGTTATTTCTAACTTACAGTAAAAACCAAACATGGAAATGTTAACTGAATTTCATGTTTAAATTTTTCAATTATTCCTTCAACTCCTCTGGGACACTATTTAATTAAACATAGACAAACACCTGGAATTTTTTGGGCCTCTTCATCTTTTGACAAGAATCTGTGTCTTAAAAAGGTTCTTGTGTTGACTTTGCTCTCCTCAGATTCCTTGGCTTCTCTCTCACTGCTAAAACACAAAGAAGGATCATTCACTGATAGAACAGCCCACCTTTTAGTTTTTAAGACTGTGATATAGAAAATCTATTTCAGAGCGATCACAATAATATTTGGTATTCATTGAGCAGTTTTCAGTGTTTTCAGGGTGTCGAAAGTAATCAGGCAATTACTTTGGTTTTGGATTTCATTTTACTACAGCTTGAGATTGGCTGAGTTGTCTATTGTAATTGCTATTAAGTAATTGGTTTGGTTTTGGTTTTACATTAACTCAATTGAAAACTGCTCTAAAATCATGTTTGTCATACAAAGTCAGTGTTAACATGTATGTAGACTTCATTTACATTATTCTATAAAGTTCTAGGATTTTGACTCAATTCTGCAGTGCAAAGTAACCAAGTTTGCATTACATTTGTAGATAACAAGTCAATCCCACACAAACATGACTTTTTGGAAAAACATGCTCTTACTGTACATTTACCTAATAAAATATTTTCTTGAAAATAATAGACATTTCCAAATTTGGTTAGGGTGCAACCTATGAGATGCTCTCTCTGAAAGGCAGCCTTCCCTAAATAATCTATTTCATCAACAAATCTGACAAGCCAGTTTCCTAAATTCTCCTTCAATGCAAAACTGTTCTCTTGGCAAACCATCTACAACATACCTTGGACTGTCTGTGGTGGGGACAATGCTGGCGAGACTTGATGATGTAGATGAGGTTACAGTTGTAACAGATACAAATGAATCAGTTGAGGATGATGATGTCAGCGACGACAAAGCTGAATTTGAGCTACTTGATGATGATGACGAGGAGGATAATTTGTCGGCAGGTGGATCTCTCCCTATGTGACCTTCATTTTGCAAAACAGTTTTGATATCATTTCCTTCACTGTCTTTAAGCTCTACATACAGATGATGACCTGAAATAAAAACATTTTATATTGTAAGGTAGGTAGGTAAAGTCTGCATACAAGCCAAGTGGCCCATCAGGCTGGTGCTTATTCTGGTTTCTGCAGCATGAAGCGACTAGGAGTATTTCTACTCCCCCCTGGATGGGATGCTAGTCCATCACAGGGCTACCCCCAGCATTAAGTTCGCCGGTACCCATTTACACACCTGGGTGGAGAGAGGCACTGTGAGAGTAAAGTGTCTTGCACAAGAATACAACACAACGTCCCCGGCCAGGACCTAAACCCAGACCCGTTGGATCCAGGGAGATGAGCACACTAACCACGAGGCCATTGGGGTAGTTAAAAGAAATCAGGGAGAAATTACAGTGCTAAACTGAGGGGAGGGAAATGACATTTGGTTTTGGTGGTTGAGACTTCAAAAAGGATTCAAAATAGTCATTTCCTGGGACAAGAATTTCTGCTCAAGTTCAGAATTTCTGCTCATTAATAGGCAAGAGTACCTTCGGCTCTGATAACTGTCATATGTAAGAATTCAGTAGCAGCACAGAGCTCCTTAAATCTGTCTATCGAGGCAGCACCCCATGTATCCTGTAAAAGTAAAGTTTAATCTTGAGCAGTATAAATAAAAGATATACAAAGAATGACAGGTTCAACTGCTAGCTTTATAACCTGTGGTAAAACTTAAATTGGTCATAAATGCGTAATTGCTTTTTTCTGTGCTAAATTAGTCTTAAGGCCACCCTTGGGTACTGTTCAGTTTCTCTACATAACAAGGAGCAGTGATGTCCATGTAGATTGAGTTAAGTAAAAAAATGTGCTCGATAAAACAGGCCAGGAAGATACATTGCACAGCAAAGGTCAAGATGCAAGCCCCTAACTATTTAATATTAGTGTACAGCAACAATTCAATGCAGATATTTTTGTCTACCTCAAATGTGTCTGATTGCTATCTTTCCAATGCAGATGTTCTTTGAGTGAAGGGTAGATTTCGGCACACACAACAACATAAGGTTATGGATACTTATAAAAACATTCTGTATGAACTATAAGGAGCTGCATTCTCACCCCTCCAGATGGCATGGCCCCATCCAGTGCACAGAGTACAGCCATCATGGGAAGCTCAGCATGTTCCTTCCTCAGTGTGCAAAGCCGCGATACAGGCAGTGGCTCATGGTTGCCAAAGTCTACATAAATAACTTGAACTTGGGAAGTATCATCTTTGGTGGAGCTTTCCGTGATTCTAGCCCGATACCAGCTATCGTCTTCGGAAAATTGAGCACAACAAAACATTCCAGGCTCAACTGCCAGTGGGAGATCAGTTTTACTGGATTGACTCTGATAAATTAAGATAAAAACAGCATGGTGTCTTTGGAAGAACCGGAAATCAGGTGGACATCAAAATGTCCTAGATACTGCATTGTGTTGCTTGCCTCTGCCACAAATGCTATTTTCAGTGGGTGGAGACAAGTGACAGCTGGAAGTGTGTCTGCTTTCACAGGCTATATACTTCATCTCAATAGCAATTTCATTCAACCCTATCATACCTAAGCAGACTTGGAGACAATCTTTCTTCAATTCTTTTTAAGATCAATATTTTCATAAAAAATTAAACAACAGTGATGTAAAACAGAATCTTCTACATGTAAGTCCATCCAACATCTGCAATGGACTAAGCAACAAAACTAATTTAAAATCTGTTGTCATCCTTATGCCAAAATCTGTGACAAGCTTCAAACTGTATTCCAAGTTACAATGTACACTGTAAAATGTATTGAAAAAGCAGGAGGTAAACACTGATTATATCTGACCTGGTAAAACTCATTTAGCTTAGCACTTAAGGCATCAATTGCATCCCAGTTGTACTTGTGGTGAATGAAGAAATGAGCTGGATTGTCAACATGGGATACTGACACTTCTGCTGAAGTTCTGAAACAAAAAAAGAGAAGTGCTTACATGTACATGTATTCATTTAATAATTTTTTTTTGCTTCGATGTGCAGCAGTCATTTGAGGGCAGCACCTCCATGTAACTGAGGGCTGCACTTTTTCAAGCAAATTATTTGGAACTGATTAGAAGTAAATTGATGCATAATGCTTACCTATTTGCTGGCAAGTCTTGTGGTCGAAGTGTATAAACTTCCACAGTCCTAGGAGAATCTGGACAAGCAAGAACTCATTATGAACAAGTTTGATTAAGAGTGGCGGAAAGAGAACCAAAACATTTCTACATGACCAAGGGCATCACGACTACATTGTCAATCACAAAAAATGCTAGCTAATGTCCTTTATGGGCAATAAAACAGGAAATACATGTAAATAAAACAACTAAGACTTTTATTGTGTAAAGCAAAATTTTGAATGTTTATAATTTGTCTCCCAACAGAACATTGAACCTATCAGAATTTTAGTCCATACATTTGATGTTAACAATTTCCCAAATGATGATACGCAAATGCATGCCGAGCTTTGTAGGCTTGTGCACTCTTATAGTCATGATAACTGACATTCTTGAAGAAAAAAAACACTATTTACACTATAATTGTATCCAAAACAAAATTCTTGATCGTAATTGGTTCTCCATATGCTTATTTCTCACATAATCAGCTTGCAATCACACACATGTCCAATTACAGGTATCCAATCACAACTTTTTTGTCATTGGATACCTGTGACTGGATACCTATGACCAGGGCTGTCAATAAGAGCTGTAACCCGTAACACCTGCTACTGCTGAGTACATGTATGTTTTACGCACTCTTGATGTTATGGGTGAACATGTGTATAGCTGATACAATTCACTCAAAAGGTAACAAGTTTGTTACGGGTGTCAAGATCAAGGCTACAATGGACTCAAAACTTAATGACAGTCCTGTAAGCCATCTGCATATAAATTAAGTGTGCTTTGATGGCTTCCTTCTTATTTTTCCCTACGGTTTTTACAACTTATGGAAAGTGTTACTGACTTTATTTCACTCAAAAGAAGTTCTCAAGATACGTTTTTAATTTTGAAAATAATTTGTTATTGTTACTGGCAATTAATTAACTTAATTGAACCTTGTGTCATACAATTCAGGGAGTAATATTGTGCTCGTAATTTCAAAGTGGCGTCAGGCTTCATGCAGAATTACTTGGCATGTGCAATTTTTTCCTGAATTGTACTCTACTCAGTCCAATTACTATTAATCATAATAATTGTTTTTTATTATAATTTTTTAATATTCTTACCTCCATTTGTTTGATGAGTTGGCTTAGTGAGTGGCTTCTCTTCCTGATAATGGAAAATTATATGAAGATTTTATTAATAAAATACTCAAATTCATTGTATTCATTGAAATACACAAATCAACCCTGACCACTTCTATTATATTTTAGATGTACAACATCATGATCAGTAGAGGGGTTATCTTAAGGAAACTCTTGTCTTCAAGAGGGGGACTTTTTGAGACATAAGAGATCATTTCCTGAAATTCATATTTATCATGATGGTACAATGGTACACAATTGTAAAATGTTACATACCGTGGGTTTTAGAGGATAAACAATGGTGTTACCTCCAGCAAATCTAGTAAATAAAACATTAAGGATGAGGCAATATTAACAATATCAAATTAAATCGATGTGTTACCCTAAACATCAGCAACTCAGTAGACTGCAAGCAGTCTCTCTTTTGCTTGAAATTTCATGAGGAAGAATGCAAAGAAGAACGCAACACAAGTGAGCCATCGTGAGTGTGCAATATGCAAAGCCATGAGCCGCAAGTAACATGGGCGTCAGAAGACGAGCAAAAAGAGTAGTGCTACTTATGGCTCATGGAATCTCTGTTTGCAAGACACCCCACTTGTTTTGCATTCCTCCCCACAGATCTTCAAGGAAAAGAGAGACTGCTCGCAGCCTAAGAACTCAGCAACCAGAAGGTACAAGCATTTGCAACAAAAATATTTTTTGATACTGACTTAACATCAAATACCTTTAGCCATCACCAAAGCAACATGTGACAATGTTTATGTTGTGTATTGGTACACCACAAAACCTTTGTTCAGTTTTAACTTCCCGTCTTATACTCATTATTATTAATTTCATTGTCACACATGTACATAATAACAATGGAAACGTTAATATTGAACCAAGAAAATAACTGTACGAAAACATGTATATAAACGAGTAAAAGCTACATGTATAACTTCAGAGAAGTTCAGGTCTCACGAGTAATCATCGTTTTATTGCTACAGAACTATTTTGTATGGTACAAGGACCACACTCATCAGGCAATTTTAACGACTGAACTGTTGAGATTGGGAAGCTGGCAGTTAAATACGAAAATTTGAAAATTTGAATGGTTGCTATAGTAGTAAACGAGTAAAAACCATATTACAGTACATGTAAAGTAAGTTACTTACTCTTCACATCTTGCTATATCTGGGAGAGTTTTCAATCTCTCCACTTTGTCGCTGGAGAGTTCTTCACCATAAGCCTTCTTGTATTCTGGTCCTATTCTTTTTAACCACAAACCTTTGGGCTTATCTGCTATCAGCTGGTAACATAAAATAGCAGCCACTGTTAGCAAAGCTCTTTCACTCACTGAGCTGTCTGAGAAAAGGTCTTATGCATGATTATGTCACACATTAAAAATTTACCACCAAGCCTCATGTACGAGAAATTTTCTCAAACCTGTGGCACCTTCGTGTTGTTTTCACAAGGGTATTCTTTTCATCTTTGCTGCTTTGGGAATTTTTCCATGATTAAATTTGCAAGTTGTATTTTCAAAGTAAGGCCTGGTGGCAAAATCTGCTTGTTTGATGTCATCATGCATAAGGGCCATTTGACAGTCATACATGTTCTACAACACAGTTCCAGCTAAGAGCAGGATCTCAGTTCAAAAAACTGACAAGATCAGCTACCTGACCAGACAAATTGACAAAAAACCACTGAAGGTTTTGTTTATTGAACAGTTGGAACTCTTTACTTACAACTTGCCACAAACATTTATTTGCAACCTAAACAACACAACAATCTTTATTACTGATCCCTTGCTACTGATCCCTTAAAAGATTTAATAATTACAACAAAAATATCTATTTCATGGTAGTACAAGATGGTTTAATTCCTCCCTGTTTTCATATAAATTATTATAACAAAAAATTGCATTATATTGTAATTGTACAAATTAGATACCTGCTTTATCCTGGAATATATTTTTAAGTCTGAAAAACAAAATCCTTCAATCATAAAATGATCTGAACCTTCAATCAAAAGTTGGTTATTTTCTACTGGCTGACAAATGAAAGAAACAGATTTTCACACAGTCAACAAGAGTCTGTTTTCTTCATAGGTACATTTGGTGCACATGCAATCATCAGCAATCTGACAGTAGTGTGTGGGAAAGACAATAAAAAAATGTGATAATATATAATTTTTTCTTGACAATAAGGAGGAAGCTAGGAAGGTACAAACAAAATGCACAGATGAACAGATGAACAAACAGATGAAACCCAATATTATGTTTTATTGCATGGCTTGTGTTTGTAGCCAATCTAACGCACGCTCTGATTGGCTACCTGTAGGGCATTATTTTCATGTAATGCCCATGGGCCGATTACGGGCCTGCAAAGACAGAGCAAAATGCCATATAATAAACAACTTATTAACCTTGAATGTTCAGTCTTTACGAGAAAATCTAAAACCTCCACCTTGCTCTATTGACCTTGCTATCACTCAGTCAATATGGCAAGGTCTTGGCAAGGTCTTGGCAAGGTCTTGGTCTGAGATTTTCTGACAAAGACCTCACTCTTGGTTAATAAGTAGTTATGAAGGCACAAATGAACAAATACAAAATGGCAGAATATTAAACAAACAATAATCGCATGAGCAAATGGATGCTCAGGGCCATCAATAAGGGATGTAACCTGTAACACATAACACAGGTCTCCTACAGCTGAGTATGTTTGATGGCCTCTTGATGTTATGGGTGAACTTGCCTGTAGTTGATACAATTCATTCGAAAGGTAACAAGTTTGACACGAGTGTGAAGATCAAGGTTACAGGTGAATCAAAAGTTAATGACAGCACTGATGCTGAAATGAGGAAACAGACATCTGAAATGTGTTTCTGAAGATGTTCCTTACCTTCCTCGCTTAGAGGATTACTTTGGGGTGCTATTCTGTTTGTAGATGCTGAGGAGTTTGACAGATAGACTACACGCTCTACAGATCCCTCTTTATGGTCAAAATCAGACAGTTCCATTCCTTGCCAGTTGGGTCCACTTGCTGCAAGGATTCAAACCAGAGCATTCACATTTAGACCAACTATTTACACTGATTAATATGTTAGATAAGCCGTTGTAGTTATTTAAGGTTGGATTTGAATTCACTGAAGACAAGCCTCTTTCATTTCCAATTCCAGTGGCCAGCAAAGCCATCACTTTAATGTGAAGGTTAAGTCAAGCTTCACACCTTCCACTAGATAATGCAGCTGAATCTTGCTATCTCAGACTCTCAAAGGAAATGACAAAATTTCTGATAGCTAATGCTAAATGACTGAAAAAGTATATCTGAGGGAAATGATCTCAGTTCAACATAGCAGGGATTTTGGGATACCCCTGGGGGTTATAAAAAGGACAGGGGTGCTTGTCATACCTTTTCAGGGTAAAGAGCAGTTTTGGTGCCTCTTAGGGTGTCAGCCTCAAAAGGTCCACAGCGAGAGCTTTTGCGGTACCTTTAAGGGTATTGAGCCGAAACAAACATGGCAGGACATAATGTGATGTTTTAAAATGGTACCTCTTAAGGGGGAAAAAATTCAACCCATGCCCACGAAACAGGTTCTTGGTGCCTCTTAGGGGAGTTCCCCCGTCTTTTTTATATCGGTGTCCCTCCCTAAACCCCTACCCATGGAGGATAAACCAAGTTTGCAATAGTGAGCTTCAATTGTGATTTTTCTACTAGATAGTGCTATCAGTTGTCCAACCATCAATAACCTGTTAGCTACATGTACCTGGACTTTTTGGTTTCTTTTTCCAGCTTTTCTTTGGAGCAGATTCCCCTAAAATGCACCACAAGACAATGAAGCTACATGTAAACATGGCTTTTTTTACAAAGCGATGATATAGAAATCATCAAAATAATGAGTGGACATTCATGTTTAACCTATTGCATTGAACTGACTACACCAGTAATATTGTTCTACAAACTGGGCAGAGCGGTCAGTCAAACAGGTGTCAAAGGCTGCAAATCGAAAACATCAAAAAATTCCTCTGCAGTCTCTTTCTTTTTCCTTCTTTTTGCACCCCATGCTTCTACCCACTTGATGGTTATTCTTTGTTTCACATTCTCTATTTACATCACATGCTAGGAAAACCAGAGACTGTGAGCAGTCTAGAAGGTTTGCAAAACTTTTTTGAAGTTTTATATCTCCTTCTACAAAAACTCCATCCTCAGAGACCCAGGGGCAGTTAGCTGGGACAGGAGGAAGTAAATCTGGCAAAAATTGAGGTGTCAAAAGTTTACAAGTAAGGTGGGAAAAGGGCTTTTCACGCCTTACTTGAAATTTTTTGTCAGATTTATTTCCTCATGCCCCAGCCAACTGCCCCTGCACAAACAAGAAAACCTTCAGAGGAACAACATTTCGTTGCTTGCAAGGGCCTTACTAAACCTTATATACCTTGATGAGGAGCCCCAGTAACATTCCTAGAAGAAGTTGCAGGTTGCTGAACTAAAATTCTGTTGGAAAGCACTTCGACTTTCCTTGTAGTGTTTGTTGCAGCAGCTGCAAAGGTTTGTGCCTGTTGCTGCACTTGTCGGGAAACTCCTCTCTGTATTAAATTATTTCCCATAGAATGAGCACTGGCTTGAGACCCAGCCTGCCTCATCATGCGAGGTGGGATAAAACGGACTCCTGTCCCAGTGGTTCGAGGTGCAGCTGGCAAAGGCCTCACAACCTGGACTACCGGGGGTCTGGTCATAAAGACCTGTCTGGTCACCATGGCCGGTCTGGTGATGACTGTAGGTCTTCTCACAAACACCGGCCTTCGTGAATTCGTTTTCGCTTTCTTTTTTGGTTTCTTTTGCTTAGCGATCAGTTTTGCGACATGCTGGTCGGACTCGCTAGCAACTCCCTTCACAACAAATTCTCCGTCCACATCTCGCGTGAGCATAGCCACATTGGGGATGCTCTTGATATAATGTTCAAGGCTGTGGTATCCCATTTCCTGGAAGGCTATCGAGGAAAACGTGACAGTCCTATACTCCTTGTCCAGGCGGCGGAGTGGGACTCCACGAGGGCTGCTGATCAGCACTGCACGCAACAAAGCTTCGGTTTTCTTCTTCTTTTCTTCCATATTTTCTTCCACTCCCACAGACTAATTATCTTCCAAGTTTATTTCATCATCGGTCAGGACAAGTGTTATAATGGCAGGGTAATGCTGCCAGTCTTGAAAGTTTCTTCGTCAAATCATGGGAAGGAAACCACGATAAACATGGCGCTTCTTCCGTCAAACGTGATAGTCCTGGGACTGAGCCTTGAGCATTTTTACCTCTGTCCTACCCCTACTCATAATGGCAATGGCAATGGCAATAACAATGACAAGTTCACTGGGTTGAAAGCAAGAAATTTCCAGAAGAGGGATCATCATTAAAAAGATATATAATAAATATAGATCATTTAAGTATTTTTTCACAAATTAAAATAACTTGTGAAACTTTATTTTCCCAGAAGTGTTATTCACCCCACCTACCCACCCTAGATTCGCAGATTCACTCTATTTCCCAGGCTGCTTTGCATCAATTCGTCCTCTTCTGTCCTGTCCGTCCAAGATGGGTGAGTTTGGAGTAGAAACCCATATTACAATCCATCCATATCTTGGCTAAATCTTTGACATCTAGCATTTGGGTTAGAACTGAGGATATGAAAATATCTCCAAGTGTAGTGTGATTTATTTTTGAGTGTAAATTTTAGCTCGGGTCGTTTTGTAGGATCGATTCATCACATGAGATTCTTCACTTTTCGAGTCACACCACTGCTTCAATTATCTCAGCCAGTTTTTCTTAAAAGGTTGTAATGTAGCGCTTTTTCTTCTCATGAAAAGATACGTTAATATACTGATAAGCTATCAGATTCGTAGTTGTTCTCCTTTAGAAGAAAAACTGCAACATCATTTTTCAGTACACTTTTTATTTTGCGAAGTATTTTTGTTGTGATGCTGGTTTTGTAGTCTTTAATTCACGTGCTTCTTTTTAAAAGCAGTGTGTACTTTTTCAATACGAAAGGGCGTAAGGATAGCAAGAAAATTTTAATTCTCTACTCCATATTATTGAATCTGCAGAAACGGGATGTAATACCAGACAGATAGCTAGAGTTATTAAAATATCTAAAATGGCGGCCCAAAGATTGTTCGCATCTTTCCTCGCAAAATAGAAACAAAAATTGCTACTTTGCAAATAATATTTGCAGGGCTTTCCTTCAGTTGAGGTTAATAATTATTAGGTCATTATTGGAATGGCTTTGAAAGTATAGTTATAAGGAACAATATACATGCATGTGTATGCTTATGTGGTGCTGGTGGATCAAGGGAGATAAAGTTTGTCTGAGTTAGGAAGCCAATACAATCAAATGAATTTAAGTCATTTAGCCCCCAAGTCAATTAGCACCTAGCCAGTTAGCCCCCAACCAGAAATCGATCAGCCCCGATTCATGCCTAAAGAACAAGAAATAGACATTGTTTTCAACTTCTGGTTGGGAGCTAAACAGTTAGAGGCTGATTGACTTGGGGGCTTAACGACTGGACACCCAATCAAAGGTTTTTCTTTCATCAATCACAAGTTTGGAATTCCAGCATTCAAGTGCCCATTTCGTTTTTGTGATTTTGATTACATTGGACTACTAAACTAACTCAAACTCAATCCCTCGAGTGACTGCACAAGGATTTATGACAATGGGCAAATTAATTGTGGAGTTTATTTATGTGAGGTTTGTTTAGTTATCTAACTTATGAACTAACTTCTCTAAATTACAGGAATTTCCCGTGATTCTTGGCACAAGAGGCGCAACACTGGTGGTAAGAAAAAGGCAATCAGAAAAAAGAGGAAATATGAGCTTGGCCGACCACCAGCGAACACTAAGGTACGCACACAAGTTGTACATCTAATACATATTTTTTTACACGGTCTCACTTCGTCAGTGTATTAGAAAATGAAAAAAAACATACTTTGTAGTAATTGAATATTTTACTAGGCATTTGGAGTTTAGACTGAAAATTTACGGAGAAATCCAGTTTTACCGCATATAATTTGACAATGACAACAACTTCATCCTTTATTTATACTCTAAAGCCAAACAATACCTGTGAGGTGTTTGTATCTAAGACAAACTAGTTACAAAACACTTCTGAGCATCATGTCAAAACATGTGTTGAGATTGTCAGATGCAACTGACGCTAGTTTTGTGGGTTTTTGTTACATGTGCTTGTCATCTCTGTCTGTAGATTGGAGGCAAGCGTATCCACACTGTTCGAACCCGTGGAGGAAACCAAAAGTTCAGAGCTTTGAGGCTTGACTCCGGCAATTATTCCTGGGGATCTGAAAGTATGTTCTCTTTTAACTTTCATTAAAGCTATTGTACTGGTCTCCATAAATTGTTTTAGAATTTGATCAGGTGTAATGTGAGATGGTTTGGGGACAAAATCTAGGGGTATTGTTTTGGTTGGAAATTCAGTATAGGTTCAAAAGTGTATATCAAAATAAATTAGTNTTTTCAGGCATTTCACCTCCCAACATGGAAGATAAGAAAATGCCACTTCATTTAGAAATATTTTTTTCATTTGACTGAACATTGACTTAGTAGAATCGGCCACATGCATGAAGTACTTAAGAGTGTAAAGTTGCGGCTTTCAGTGCTTCATTCATTGAATTTGACATTTAAAGTTTTTGTTTGTGGTAACAAGGGAGTATGTTCCTTTTTTTGCCAGGTTTGAGGCTCACTATGCAGTTCCCCTTGGACGCAAGAAGACTTCTAAAGCGGTAAATATTGGTTATGAACATGTAGTCATACACATACCAAATGTTCCATTGAAATACTTGGTCTCCTATAGGTGTAAGTAAAGGTTTAATGAATAACAGTCAAAAGAGTTTTGGTAATAAATAATTGTTGAAATGCAACTTCTTAGGTTGAAAGTGAAGAATCTGATGTGCTGAACAAGAAGCGATCAAACCACTGTCAACGCAAGATGGATGCACGGAAAGGACCTTCAAAGATAGATCCCCATCTTGAGGAACAGTTCACCACTGGAAGATTGTATGGTAAGGGAGTTGGTTGTGCACATTCAATCACTTTCAATGGACTAGACTTATAATATCATCGACTGACAAACACTATTCACTTGACTCAGAATATGACTTCCACTCAGGTTGTCGAAACATCAGTCACCAACAACAGTTCTTTTCAGAACTACCCTCAACCGGATGATCACACAATACGGACTACTGATACTCCTGGGTTCAAACCATTTACTAAGTTGGTTGTTGTTGGGGAGCAGGGATGGCACAGGGGTGAGAGTGCTTGCCTCCCACCAATATGGCCAGGTTCAATTCCAGCCTGGTGCCATATGTGGGTTGAGTTTGTTGTTGGTTGTCGCCTAGTTGCTTCAAGGGTTTTTCTCCAAGTACTCCAGCTTTTCCTCCATCCTGAAAATAACATCTCCAAATTCCAATTTGACCAGGATAGAGGATCCATGTGAAAACCAGCCAAGGCTGATGTGGCTTCCTCTCTAAATATTATAATTTATTTATTTGTTTTATCACATGACTGTAAATGTAACTAGCCTAGGTAAACAGGATTTAATCCCCTCCCCCCAGCCCACTTATGAGATTTTCAATATTTGACCTGGAAAATTCCATACAGATGATATTATGGCTCAACAGAAGAGCTCTGAAAGGCTCTTGCCAAACTTCCAGTTTGATTCTAAGATGTATTTACTTGCTCCAAAACTAATATCAATTTTGTTTTGTCCATCCTCTTAGCTTGTGTGGCGTCAAGACCTGGCCAGAGTGGACGTTGTGATGGTTACATTCTCGAAGGCAAAGAACTTGAGTTTTATGTTCGTAAAATCAAGGCTAAAAAGGCCAAGTAAAAAGACAACTTCTCTCTGAAATTTGTACAAACTACAATAAAGTACATTACAACTGAGTTGTGTTCATAACTATTTTTAACAAATTCCCTTGGAGTAATTTTCTCAATGCCTCCCTAAGTTTGATCAGAAGCATATTACCTTGACAAGGTGATATGCTCCTGGTTTGGTTTATATTGCTGTGAACCATGTCAGTTTTCACAGTGACAAGCAACTTTGACAAATGATACCAGCAATTGTGAAGCACAGTTCAACTCACTTAGGCTCTTTTTATTGTACATTTAGTTCACACAGGTGAAATTTAAGGAATATACACTAAATACAGTGTAGAAAGTGTAGAAGCTTTTGTCAGGTGCAATGTCTGCGTCATCACTTTTGGCAAAATCATAACATAATAAGTTTTAACACAGGTATAGGGATAGGCCTATTCTTTCAAGTACAGTTGAAGCGCTCCTTGTGACAACTCTCGTAAGCAACTACCATAGCTCTAGTTACAACCACCTTTGTGAAACCCTGTTTGAAGTGTGACTTATTTTGTAATGAAAAGCTCTTGTGAGCAACTGCAACCACTTTTGGGATTACCCAACTGGACCCTTCCTTTGTTTTTAACCTCTTGTAAATGACCACTCAGAGTCTTTCATATTAATCAACACTTTATGAAACTGCACACTGCACTAATGGTTATTTTGGTCTAAAAAACTGAACAGAAAGTTTAGCCATGTCTATATCAGATACAAAGACACTCATTAAACATTAATTAGTTTTGTTTTTTTCTGGGAATTATTAATGAGTTTCTGAAGCTCTTGTAAGCGACCACCCCCTATTGTTTTACCACGCGGTCACTTATGACTGTTCATTCTTGTAAGCGACCAGCTCTAGTTCCGAACCCTTTTCAAANTTGACTAGGTAAGGGCTTCGAAATCCCAGCTTATGAGAAAAATCGAATTTTCGAAGTAAAATCAGTGGTCGGTTCTTACAGAGACAGCCTCTTAAAGGTCAATTTACTGACGCATTTTGAGTGATCCTTACTAATGATCTATTGGAAAAGAAACGTATAGATGACGTCAACAACATGAGCGTTCACGCAAAAAGCATCCGCCAATTTTGTTTAAACAGTTGTCGAAGTAGCTGCCGTAGGGTAGTCAGGAAAGGTTCGAGTTTAAGCAGCTTAACGGGTAGACGCGTTTCTGAATGATTTGTAAAACGTTCTAACTACATATTTTCCAAAAAACTATATTCACTTGAGAACAGTCTAGTGTAAACATAACAGCGAACAAAAGAAGCATACAAGACTAATAATCAAATCACACAGATTGAAATTTTATTTCCTATTTCCTTTGTCCATTCTACAGTCTAGTGTAAGAAGGGCACTCAATGTTCTTCTACAGCTGTCCACAATCTGCAATCACCACAGGCTTACTGGTCTTGCCCGAGCCAGAGCCAACACCCTCCATTTTCTTAACAACATCATCATACCCCTCCACTACTGATCCAAACACTACATGCTTTCCGTCCAGATGGTCAGTTTTGCCGGTGCAAATAAAGAACTGTGATCCATTTGTGTTCGGGCCAGCATTGGCCATGGACAAAATTCCTAAAATGAAGAGCAAATAAACCACAATAAATCCAAGTCTTTTGTAAATAAGAAGCCGAGAATCCACTTGCTGTATCTTTTCGTAACATCTAAGGTACGTAATACACCTGACGTTCTCCATGCGACCACATTTTAAACTCGTGGATACGCGAAGCGTAGAAACGTGTTTGTTACGGGGACTCCGATATGCAAATGTGTCGCTCGTTCGCCCACCCAAAATTCTCGATCGTGATTGGTTCTCCGCGCGCCTATTTGTCACGTACTCGGCGCGCGATAACGTGGGTGTCCAATAACAGATATTCAACTTTAACTTTTTGTAATATGATACCTATAATTGGACACAACGTGATTTTCACGCCAATTACGCGTGCTTTACTGGCTTCCTTCGCAATGTTTCCTACAGTTTTCAAACCTTATTAAAAGCGCTACAGACGTTTTCGCTCAAAAGAAACTTTTAATTCCAAATTTGTTATAGATACGATTAACTAGTAATTGGACCTCGTGTCGTACAATTCAGGGAGTAATCGCGCTCGTATTTTCGAATCGCCCTCGCGCTTCGCGCTCGTCCGATTCTGAAATTACTCACGCGATTACTCCCTGAATTGTACTCTACTCGGTCCAATGACTATTGCAAAGTATGCATCTTTACACGACCATTAATAGGCCACGTTCGATATATCAAAATTCTCACATGGCTCCGAGGCTTTCAGGACAAACTTCTATATTTGGTGTTGTTTTCTTTGTATCCAAGTCTCTTTTGGGAATTGAGGGACAAAACAAACTTAGAAAATTTACAATTTTGACCCCAAAGCCTCAGAGCCATGTTAGAATATTGATATATCGAATGTGGTCTATTGCTGCGGAGCGAGCGAGCAGAAACATAATCAGGATATAAGATGAATATTATAGAAGGGGGTGCAAATCCTCGAATTCATCACTTTTTACCAGAATGCATTTCATTTAACCAGAGTACACTGCGCCACTTTTTACCAGAGTGCATTGCTCTTATTTACCTGAAAAACGACACGAAGGAGATTGTGCTTGACTTTCACAACTCTTGCTTTTATTCTTAATGCAGTATGCGAAAGTTTGTAAATCTTGACCAATAATTGTAACATCTTTATTTTAAACTTAGGATGTCATTTCTTAGCAGTCTCGCCTCCTTGGTCAAATATTTAAGAGAAATGATCATCATTACTAAAGCTTGTAGAATAATTAAAACAAATGAAAACTGTAGAACACGCTAACTTCATGTGCTGCGATCTTTTCATCCAAACATGAATTTAAGCTTTAGCATTTTCACACATCGCAAAGACGTGTCCTCAACACAGTCGACATTCTAGAGACATTTAATGCGTACCAGTACACAATATATAAGTTAGATTTCTACTCCTACAATTTCCACATCTTTTGATTTCCACGATCTGGTTAAGGGGAGGTTGATTTGTATCGTTTTATGTCTAAACATAGTTCAGATCACTATGCGATTTTTTTGTCACGATCCCTTGTCACACCTCGCCATAGATGCGTCATCATGCGGGAAGTTGATGCAAGGACAGGTTCACCACGATTTGAACGGGCAGGTAGATGAATCACTTCGTAAAATACAGTTGAAGCTCTCCTTGCTACCAACCAGCTCTAGTTACGACCACCTTTGTGAAACCCCGTTTGAACTGTAACTTAAATTTTGTAATGAAAAGCTCTCATAACAACCGCTCACCTAAGCAACCGCGACCACTTTTGGCATCATCCAAGCGAACTTTTCCTGTTTCTAAGCTCTTGCAAGTGAATACTCAGTCTTTTACATACCAGGGCTCGAAATTAACAAAATCCTTAAGTTGCCATTTTGCGACTAAGTGGTAAAAAATAGTCGCTACATGTAGAGTTTTAGTCGCAAAATCAAATAGAAGATACACAATCCATTGACATACATGACGTCCTCAATGCTCAAGGGTTTGCAATGCGTTATAGGGCGATTTCGAACAGGGGTAGCCACTTTGAAGTTTTCTCGAGAGAGTCGTTTACTTTAGAGTGCCTTATGATAATCATACAAGGCGATACAGTTGGCGATCAAAGAATCGTGGGTTTCTTTTATTATATCTATTCGAATAAATTGTCTTTCATCCACAAGTAATGTTCTTTTTCCTTTGAGATTACTGCTAGCCCTTTTAATTTGTGTCAGTCAAGGCAAAACTTAGTCGCGACTACTCTCATTTTTCTAAGCGCAAATAAGTAAAGTTAAGTCGCAAATGCGATTGTAGTATTGGTCGCAATTTCGAGCCTTGCATACAAATACTTAAATGAAACTGCACACTGCGTTAATGGTTATCTTGGTCTAAAAAGTTGAACGTATAAGTTTAGCAGTATCAATATCATACATTTTTTAATGAGTTTCTGAAGTTATCATAAGTGACGACCCTCTATTGTTTTACCATGCGGTCGCTTGAGGGAGCTCAAGGGAGCGACCACTTTTCAATTTCTGAGATAGTTGCTTACGGCATGAGCTTGACTGTATGTCACTATCAACAGAATATGAAGCATTACTATCTTTTAGGTACCCTAGTATTAGGTCTTTCGCTAAATTGAAGTGGAGTCGACTTGGAATGCTCGAATTAGTACTATGGGAACTTGAAGGCTGAATTTCATGAGCGTTTGAATCGTCCACGCATTAAAAATGGCCAGGAGATGAGCATTTGTTTGCTGGAAAGTGACCTGCTTTCTTTTATTTATGCTGACTGAAAACAATACTACTGAACATTTGTGTATGAAGTAAAATGTTATTATTATTATTTTTTTTTTGGTAAACTATATCACTCATACTGTTCTAGTAACTTAGGCATCTTACCATGAATATGATCCAAACAATCAATTAAGTTAACTAAACCAACACATTCTGTTTAACTTATTCTATCACATGATATTCTTTACATAGTACTCTCACGAGAACATTTACAGCAGAGCAGTTTATCATATCTCGTTAGAAAGGACGCAAAAAGTACTTTCTGGAAAAAAATAGGTTACCTTCATGGAAACTAATATTTCTTTTACAAAAATTTCACTCTATAGAACTTTATAGGGGAAAAAAGGTTAAAAAATTATAGCGAAACAAAAAATTAAGTCAAACTACTCTGTTCCAATTTGATGCTGAAACAAACCATTTGTCTTGATATACGAGCAAACGTATCTTGAAAGCAGAAATCCATCTTCAGGATTTTTGAAATTGTTTTCAATTTGTCCTAAATGAGAATCTCTGCCATTTCAAAGCAAATTATTTGATTGCGCTAAAATCGTCATGCAGGCCATATTGTAATTGGAGTGTACTTTTGACCTTGAAAAGCTACTCGAAGATAACGAAACATGAACTTGTGGTTACAAGAGCCTCGAAATGCTGCTAGAAGATGGCGAAACGCGAACTCGTGGTTGCAAGAACCTTGAAATCAAGAATTTCATGTACCCGACACCACCTTGGCTCGATTTCCAGCCGTTTTGTGAGCACGCGTTCCTTGCCCCACATGACCCAAGACCACCGTGCGCGCCTAGTTTCATCAAATCGAGAACGCTTCGCATATTTCCAACACATTTCTTACTTTTTTTGAAATTCCTTGTATGTATACACGTGGGGAATATTAGGGTGCCTTCTCAGGTTTTGGCCTCTGGGCCAAAACCCTGTGGGGGCAATAATAATGTAATTTCATTTTTATAATTTAGTAACATCTAAACCCGAGTCCTGTCGGAACATGTGTTTCTTGGGACGCATGTCAGCCTTGCAGTAGTCTTTGACTTTTTATCGTTTTACTTTTAGGGTTTGGCTGGTTAGATCTCCTGTGAGATCCAATGTTCAATCAAGCAGGATCTTCGTTCACAGCTTTGGAGTTTATAACCCTTAAGTAATGATCTAGATAAGAACTGTAGCATTTTCTATTGTTCTGCGGCAATACACTTTCCCCACATTGAAGCGCTTGTGTTTTCATACGAAGAATGTGTCAACCGATGGAAAGCAGGTTTATGATATGATGCATTTAAACTCTATTTTGAAAGATAGTTTCCTGTGTTAAAACATTCAACCAATCACAACAGTCGTAAACAAAGACAATAGAAGCTTCCAATTTTCCAATGTTCCCCTCATAGGATTACTGTGGTATTTAGACTCAGAAGAGGTTTTGTTGAAAGATGATAGTTGATCAATTACGGATAAATATATATACACTCAGCTACCTGAAGTTTTAGTAGAGTTTGTTAATTGAGCCAATCAGAAGTATGATACAACAATACAGCAAAGTTGCGCAACAGTTAGTACCTTTTTGCATTCCTAGCCAATGGTGCTATCCTTCTTATATGGACCGTTACTTAAGTTTTTAATGTTGAGTTGTCCACGTTCAACCGACATTGAGTTAAGTCTTGTTTATTTTAGTGCAATGATTTGAACTCTGAGTGGGACATGAAATGCACATAAACTTGGAAAGAAATTCCCAAATACTAGTGATTTTGATAAGGTTAAACGATTTCCACCCTGACTTTTGTTTACACTTTTGCTTCCTGATTGAAAAGATAAACTAGTGAGACAATCTCAGATTGTGCAGAGTGTAATGAATAGCCCTGACGCAGTACTCATAACACAATTCCTGTATCAGTTTGTATTGACCTTGTTAGTCGGCTAGGGATTTTGATGAGACAATCTTAGCAGTGTGTGTGTGTTTGATGTGTGTATATTCATTCACAGGCCAAGAAAAACCTACAACTAATTACCGCTTGTCAAGACAGCTCTTGAATTTTACTGTAGTGTTTTGCGTTGATTTTTGCCCATTTTATATTAAATTATAATACATTTACGTAGCGAACGTGCCAGTTGTACTCTTCATGAAAACGTTTGTAACTTGAAGATGTGCTTGCATTCTTTTCACAGCTGGAGATAAATGGAAGAAAATTGAACGTAGGATGAAGAAATGGAAGAGGAACCATTTGCCCTATTTAAAACGCAAATTTTCTTTCGACCGATAAAC